AAAAATTCCAAGGCCCGTGACTTTTCCAATGGGCCAAGTCCGGCCTCTAAAGTCTGATTTGATTCCTCGACATTGAAAATTTGTGTTTTTATCGAGTTGCAGGGTTTGGCTTCGCACTTTAGAGCGGCGGCTGGTGGCACTGACGTCAGCCGCATCAGGACAGGTGGACCCTTGAGGCCTGCCTCCAGCACCGCCTGTACCAAGTCACGCCGTCTTACCCTACGCCAAGACGCCAGCAACGTCGATTCCGGTGGACCACTGTTCCCCGGCTGTGGGGACCCCCGCAATGTCAGACGGCACTGCGGCGACGGTCAGTAGTGGAGGCACAGGAGTCGACATTTCGGTGGCTCCGGGGCGCCCGCCTCCGAAAGATGAGCTGGACTATGCGAATTCCATTGGTCGGACCATTAGCTCCACTGTCTTGCCTCGCTGCACGACTTCTTTGCCATGCCGCAATGCAGCGTTCATGCGCCTGGATGCGATACCAACGAGATGCACGTATTTGTGTCATCTTTCACTGCTCCCAATTTTTTGGCCGGGCGTTCCGAAGATTGCGTTGGATTCTTAGACTTTGGCCAAAGCGTGCACAGCAATCGAGAAAACAGTGTCTTGGGGGTCGCTTGTTGTCCGACGGGATAAAAACAACGACCGGCATAGCCTGGAATTGGTTTGCCACCCAAGTCCTGGGCAATTGGGGTGCCGACCTCTCTCTGTCTCCCAAAGGTGTTGAGAGCTCCGTAGGTATATTTTTGTTCAACATGTCATGGCCTCCATGTGTTTCATATTCGACATGCAAGTACTTCACAAGCATCTTCACGCATTCAGAAGATTTTGACCTACAGTTGCTCTTGGTTCGGGTTGTGAAATAGCAGATATTTTGGCAGGACGGCCGCCTGCGCATCCCGACATAGTTCTGCTGTCCTGCATTTAGAACTTCGGCGAGTGATAGGACGATAGGGGAGGCTCTGCCGCTTTGGGATGCTAGATGTAGGTGTTGCTGTGTACCAGCCCGCTGTGCGCTTCATCAAGCAAAGTGTTGTTTTGATGTAATTAATACGGCGCGACTGCCTGACTGAAGTGGACATGTTTTCATGTTGAGAGAAGATTGTACGTTTCATGCTGCAGCACCGGACCTACTTGCTGGCATACCAAGGTTCCAACCTACCGAAAACATGGTCCGAGTTTGACCGTCGAGTGAAGCAGTTGTCCAGGTGTGCTTGTGAACGGCAAGTTAGCAGTTGTCCCGTCATTGCTTATCCCGGTGGTATTCCTCCGCAGAATTTGTTTCTCGTTCTTTACATGTCGAGCTCCTTTCGTCCAAAGCATAGCTCTGTGTGGTCGCGTTCCGTCATGAGAGTCATTAGAGCCGTGATTGGCTTATGTGCTCATGGTGCCCCGAAGTCTTTCCAACTTGAGCTTCCGCCATTCCAGCTGCCAGCAGCCTGCGCGTAGTCGCAATGTTGGGCACGGGTCATCTAGACCTCCAGAGTTATCGTGAAAACCTTTCATTCAAAAGTTTCCAACACCGAAGCCTGAACTTTGATGTGGCCTACGACCATTGAACATTGACCCGATACGCCCATGTCGGTCGCAGGCTTAACTTGCTGGAAGTGTGGAGAGTAATTGAATGGTTGGCAAGCGCACGGAATGTGCTCCTAGGTGGATGAATCAGCGGCCCGGGACTTCGCCAGTGGTACCGTGCGGAGCCCGGCACCGGTACGAGTTTTGCCAGTTTTGCTCTTGTTGTTCCCGTTTTGCAGATCGGCGGGATGGTGGCCATCTTGGCTGGGCATCCGTTGGACACGGCCGGGCTAGAGACTGCTAGAGGACATGAGAGGGGATTGGATCACGTGGCTGTGAGTTTGTGAGGCGAAAACACGGATCCAGGCGATGCCGCGTTTCGACGGCTATGGCACCTGGCGCGTGTCAGATGCCCAGCTCAATGTCTTCTGAAACCTGCTTAGTATGGAAAATTTCAAGAACCGCCGCCGGCAAAGCCTGTCAGGCTCGCGGAGACGGCACGGCTGGAAGGCCAGAACTGTGCTCGGTATGGCTTGGTGTGAGCTTGCGAGTCATGTGTGCCGCGTCAAGTGTCGAGCCGAACACTATGGAAGTTTCTTTGCAACTCAGAGCTGGATAAAGCTCCAGTTGAATGGCCTGTCGGTTGCTGTAATTTCGTATATGTTTTTGCAGGTTTTACCCAAGCCTTTGCTGCAGTTCTACCAACCGTGCGCTGCCAGTGGAATTCGGTCACTGGACCGCCCCGCATAGAAGGTCGGAAATCCATGCTTGTCCTGTGTGGCTGGCGAATGAGCGAAACCTTTCTTGGCAACCAGATTGTAAATGGGCTTCGCACCCGATGCTGCAATTGCACTCTGCTATCCGACACGTATGTAACCTGTTCCACAGTTCAACGCCACGGCTTCGGGATTCTCAGGGCATACCCGAGGCTCAGAGATCTTGGGCCCTGTCCGTCGTGCTTGGCTTTAGTCAACTTTAGTCGTAACGATCATGCACTTGGTCACTGACTTGATTCGGCAAGAACTGTCGTCACTGTCATAGCTCGAACAGACAGCCTTCGAAAAGCGGTGCACAGCTCGGCCTGAACAGGCCCATCGGCGCTGTACAAGGGCATGTCCTTCCCTTTTTGCAGCACGCCGAAGACTTAAGAATGCTAGTCAGTCTTGTGTGGCCGTGCTGTTGAGTGAGCTGTCCAGGGCGCTCTTGACTGCCGTGGTCTTCGGTGTTCAAGGGGTCTCTGACCGCTTGTTGCAGGTGCGTGTTTTTGTTGATTTGGCAACCAAAGCGGTGCTGATATCACCAGCACTCCCTTTGCCAGCTTGATGCCTTGTGATCTCGGCAGGAGGCTTTGGGGCAGCAGGGGGCCCAGAGACAGTCTGCTCTCATGCCCTCCGGCTACTTCCGGGGTAATTTGAGAAGCAGGGAGCGGCCGCAACTCACCGGCTTCCTGGGCGGCTGCATTGCCGGATTGGTGGCGTGCCAAGCATGTCAAATCTTCATTTGCCGAAAGTTCTCCTGCTCCAGGCTCAGAGTCCACTTGTCTGCATTGTGCCGCCCTCATCGTTGAAGAACGAGAGCGATCGGAGCTCTGGGCGAGCTGAGGTTGATCTGGTGAAGACCCAAAGACAGGTCCAGTTTACACCGCGGAGCTCGGCAAGCCAAGGGCCAACGCCGGCGGGGCCCACGGAGGAGAGAGGCAAGAAGAAAGCTGATGGATCTGCATGTGTCTGTCTGCCGGCTTTCCTTTCTGATGCGGTAGTTGAGGTGAGGCTGCTCTTGCAGCGGGTGAAGGCCCTGGGATTCGGCCAAGGCTGCCTGCAAGGCAGGGCAGAGTCTCAAGGAAGAGACTGATGTGACTGCCCGTCTGTGTCTCCCCGCGCTTTGAGGCTTAGGGCCTACAGCCCTCAAGGAATGCCCATCGCATCACGGCAAGCAAGCCACCTCGCGAGATCTTGCAAGGCTGAGCTGCGATTGGATGAGGTATGGTGTGTACTTCCTGGTCTACGAGGAGTCCAAGCGTTTGCTTGATCCCCGAGCCCCAGCGCGGTGCTCAAAAGACGGATGCGCGAAGCCTCGAGGCCGACTCGAGGCTCGTCGAAGCGTGGCTCGTCTCAACGCATCGCAACGCTTTATAAGGCTGTGCTGTCCACGCTCTTCTCGGGCGGCATGGCGGGCTGCTTTGCCCTCGGCCTGGGCCCTGGGCCGAGACTTGGGCCCCTGAACCTCTCAGCCCCCTGTCGTCAGGCATGATCCACCCGGTGGATGTCGTGAAGGCCCGTGTTCAAAGCCTTCCAGCCCAGGCACGTATCCTATCCTGTCGTATCCTTCAACGGATCTAGCTCCTCGCCGTTCGATCTTCAGAGAGCATTGAGGCTGCTGCGGAGCAGCGAAGCACGCGCCACATCATCGGAGAAGGATGGGAAGCGGAAGAAGGCATTTCTCGTTGTCTGTGGATGGAATCGGCGAGGCCTGCGGAACGAGGGCGCGGCCTTTTTCCTGCGCGGATTTAGTGCCTCGGTCTGCCCAGAAGGATCAAAACCGAGGTGTAGTCACCAGTCACCAGTCACGGCCAAGCCAGTCTTCCAGATCTGGCAGGAAGTCGACAGTCCAGGAACTTACTGAGCTTCTTCGGGGAGTCTTTTGCACAAAGCTAGTTGTTTTTCAGGGTTGATGTGCACAGGCTTTCTCAACCTATGCGCTACGAGTTGTCTGAAGTGCTGCATTTTCATGCTATTTAGCTTGATGCGCGATGTCTTCCAAGCTTTTAGTCTCTCGAAACACAAGCCTAAGGAGCCGCAAGTGGACGGATCGCGTAGCGTGTAGAATGTGTAGAGCTGACGACACAAGGTATCATCGCAGCGACTTGAGTCGAGGTGTGTGTGTAATTTAACTGAGTTGGCCCATGAACGCTGTATTCCCCAGGAGAACTTGGATTTGGCCTTTCAGGGCGTGTTCTCTACTGGTTGCTGACGCCGTTCTCGTGGCCTCTCGCAGGTGCTGCGATGCAGCGGGCCTTCGTCGTAAACGCCGCGACCTTCGGCGGCGTGGAGCTAGGAGTGCCCGGCCCAGCAATGCCGACAAGGGGAGGTTGCTCCTTTTTGCTTGAAGCAGATTGGTGGCATCATCTTGCCAGGTGGCTTTGTGGGACCGCATGTCTGCGAAGGGGACTGCCACGGCATGAAAAAGGATGCAACGAGCCTCTCGTAGCCCAGATTCAGGGAGTTCATGTTCCTGGGTAGCCAGCGGTATGCGCTGCACTGTTCTGTGGCCGGAGAGTTTTGGCCGTGAGAAGGTTTCGTCCGACGGTCAAAGTTGGAATCTTCTTGTGCCAAGCTGTTCCCCAGCTGGACAGCGTAGCAGACAAGCGAACAATCATCGCCGTGCGGTGGGATCGAAAATGATGCAAGCCTGATTCTGCAAGCTGCGTGGCTCAAATACATCAAAGATATCAAAGTTTTTCCTTCTGCCTGCTCCGACAGATGCTCGTCCTTAAGCTTGCGCTCTGGACTCTGCTAGCGCCTGTCGCAGCGGAGTACCGGATCAGAGGCTACGAACCAACGCCGCTGTCAAGCACTTATCCCAAGCATCGTACGATTCCTGAATATGGGTTTGTGCGTTGCATGTGTTGAGGTCCAATGTGGCAAGCTTTGCTCGCATAGATATGGATGTCTTGGAAATGGCCGACCACATGGCGGGCTATGTCCAGGACGCCAAACAGCTCGCTGGCAGTTCTTACTCGGTCTAGACATGACATGCATAAGCTGTGGTTTGCAGCAGGATGGCCGGCGACGCACCGATGCCTCAGATCCCAACCGGCGTCGAGACCCCTC